AAAAAATCTTTCAATAAAAAAATAATTCTAAATATTAATAATAATGATTTAGCGAAATTAAATTATGTATTGATTAGTTGTTTAATTATAATCTATTTGATATTTATTATTAATTATTTTTCAGTTAATTTTTTTTCGTTAAATCATTAAATATTCTGAATTTTTGTAAAGTTTTTCTTTTTTTTTTTAATAAACTAACTTTATAATATTTTTTCCCTTTTTTTTCTAGAAAATTCTTCTACTGGTTTCAGGTTAAAGAGATAAATATTTTGGGAGAGATCTTAAAAGTTTTTTTTTTATATATTTTTAACATTTTTTTACATAAGAACGGGTTTTGATCGATTTTAATTAGTACTACGCCACATAATTGATGATCAGCAAATTTCACAAATTGGCAGATATATTGAACTCCATGAATCTTAATATTTGGATTTAAAAGATGATTGTGTTCATTAACTATTGTGGAGATTTTAATAACTTCTATTGATTTTGAACAAATTACATTTAAATACTACTGACAACCAATTGATCTAAAACTTTATTGATTATATTTTTCAGAATTTTTATCTTTTCTTGGTTGGTATTGAACTGCTTTAGTATATTCATAAGTAGTATTCCAATCTGAGGATATCTGTCACCATTTTATCCAATCCGATTAGAATCCATCATTCAGAATATCCATATAAGTATCATCTGGATCATCTGGATTATCCTTAAGGATTATCCGGATTATCTGTTAATACCATTAAAATTTGTATAAGATATAATTCCAGCTGGCATTAACTGATCGGCACCAGAATTTCCTTTTTTGGATCCTTGTACAACAAGAATTCCCAATTTTCACATAAGAGGCATGCCAAAAATTACGTGATTATGCTCAATTAGAGACCTGACCACCCTACCCACCATGTGATTGAATTCTGATTGGCTAAAAAAATACATACAGTATAATATATAATATAATATATTAATATATATATTATAATACAATTAGTTTGCTATCTAATAATCCAATTTGCATAAACTTTTTTTTGTTTTGTAGCCCCATTTATGCTTTATAAAATAAAAAAAATTCATTGAAATTGGACTGCTAGATGGTGAAATAATTGCAAAAAAGCTTGTTAATAAATAAATTATTATATATTATATATTATAATACAATTATTTCACTATCCAATAATCCAATTTGCATAAACTTTTTTTTTGTTTTGTAGACCTCTTTATGCTTTACAAAACAAAAAAAAATTCATTAAAATTGAACTGCTATATAGTAAGTTAATTGCAAAAAAGCTTCTTAATAAATAAATTACTATATATTACATATATATTATAATACAATTATTTTACTATCCAATAATTCAATTTGCATAAACTTTTTTTTTATTTTGTAGCTCTCTTTATACTTTATAAAACAAAAAAAAATTCATTAAAATTGGACTTTTAAATGGTGAGATAATTGCAAAAAAAGCTTCTTAATAAACAAATTATATATTATTTACTATAAAAGATATACTATTACCATAAAAGGTATATTGTGACACCTGATTGCAGGACCTGACCTTACCCACCCACTAAATCACGTAATTTCTAGCATGTCCTAAATCAAATTTTCCTTTTTTGGAAATTTGTGTAACATCACGTGATTTGGCGGGATCTGAATCATTATAAATTAAATTTGTTAAATATCCGTCAGATAAATCTATTATTATCGGTCATCCAAGAAATCCAATCCATTATTATCCATTATCCGTGTGATCTGATCCATCAACTTATCCGTTATTTGTATAACCGCCAATATCTGGATATTCGTCAAAAAATCTGGATAGCGGCTAATCGAATTGGAACACTATTCATAAATACGTTTGCATACAATATTATCATTATTATATTTAACTCTACTTCTTCAAAGATTTCAAAGGTTTGTCCCTTTTAAAGTGATAAATTACCATCATTTTCTTCACTTATAAAGTCATTATTAATATTAGATAAATTGTTTTTTGTATTCATATTTTATTAAAAAAATTGTTTAAAGGTTTATTATAAGTATTATTATAAAATTCAATAGAAATTAAAGGTGAAGAAAGTTCTTAAATATCTATTATGAAATAAATAAAAGTTATTATGAAATAATGAAAAAAAAATATAAAGAAAAAAGAAAGGTTATGAGAAAAAAATTTATTGTAATTTATTATAAACCACATTTTAAATTCCTAATGGTAGTATTTTAAAAAAAATCTGATTTGATTTGTATCTACGGATTTGATCTGAAATAGACCAGATTAGATCAAATTTTTTATGATCTGTAATCTAATCTGAATTAAAAAATTTGATCTGATTGAATCAGATTTAAACAGATTTAGATTAGATTTGAATCAGATCTGAATTTTAGAAAATAAAAAATATTTTATATAATGTTTTTTATTAAGATAATTTAAAAAATTATTGCAAAATGGTTTTTTCATTAAATTGAAATAAAAAATGTTTTGCAACATTTTTTATTAAAACAATTTAAAAAATCATTGCAAAACAGTTTTTTTTATTAGCAACGTTTTATATTAAAACAATTTAAAAAACAGGTGCGAAACATATCAGTCACTAGAAATGTTCCTAAAAATTAAAGGCAAATTTTTTTTAATATGTTTGCCAATTTAAAAATTTTAGTGTGGCATTGCCTTCAATTATATAGCATATATATATAGTTAAAAGTTGGCTAAAATTAGTTTTTTCAATTAAAATCGCCAATCAATAAATCATAATTTTGGCCAAATTTTTTTTAATTTTGGCCAAATTCGTAATGCCGGCCTAAATTTTGTTAAAATGAAAAAATGCGAGTCAAATGTAACACCATATTTACACAATGTAACGCCTTTAACTTAAATAATAAAGGTAAAACTCCATAACTGCTTTTACAATCTTATTGAAAAAAATTTCACAAAAGAAGTCGTTAAAAGGTTGCATCTCTCAGCTTCATATTACCTATTTTTAGTGACTAAAAGAATTGTAAACTTCAATATCATAATATTATCACCCTTTTCTTTTACCATTTATTTGTAAACATAATAGAAGAAGAAAATTTTGATAAAATTAGTGAGTCTGAAAGAGTATATTTACAATATTTATCAAATTTTATAATTTGACTAATTTTAAAAAGTTGTTAATAGTAAAAGTATTTCAATAATCATCCAATTTTAATAAAATTTAATGTACAATCATTTCAAAAGGTTATAAAATAGTATGTAAAATTTGAGGATATGTTATTTATAGAATCGTTGAATAAATTTACTGTTACACAAAAATGCAGATCATTTAGTATATGTAAAATACTGATTGATATTTTGAAATATTTTATATAATAATATCTACTAAAATTTTGCATACTGTTTTATAACCTTTAAAAGTGATCATATATTAAATTTTATTAAAATTGGATGATTATTGAAATACTTTTACTATTAATGACTTTTTAAAATTAGTCAAATCATAAAATTTAATAAATATTGTAAATATATAAAATATTATTTTACTATAATATGTAATTTGCAATTAAAATTATATTTACACAAAAAAATTGGTAATTATTTATGTAAACTTTTTAAGTTTAATATTGGTTAATTTTTGCAAAAATCATAAATTTTGAATTTACCATAAAATTTATTAAGAAACCTGCTTTTTATTTCTTAAGTAACCTGATTCCTCATAAAAAATTACATATATTTATATATTTAAAAATAATACTTATCTTTTACTAATAAGTTGCATCTAGAGGTTGAAATTATAAAGTTAGCTTAATATAAATTTTTTATATAAGTATTGTAAATAAGTAAAATAGACCCCAAAGAACAAAATATATAAAGTTTTTATAATATACAACTTAAAAAAAATTATGTTATATAAATTATAAAAAATCATTATTTATTAATAATTACGAGAGAAATGAAATTTTCCACTGGTTGATATAGTTTTTTTTAGTTAAATAAACTATTTCACAACAGTTTTTATTAAAATTATTAAAACTCGTTGCAAAATAGTTTTTTTAGTTAAATAAACTATTTCGCAATAGTTTTTTTTATTAAATAAACAGGATTCTGAACATCACATATATAACTCACATTTGAGTTTTAGCAAATTTAATCAAAATTAGGTTAAACTCATAATTTTAGATGGAGCAAGTTGATTGAAAATTAATTAATAGTCATAATTATGAGTTTTAGCAAATTGTATTGATTTTACAAAGTCATATTTTATATTTGAGCATATTGGTACTTTTTTTTGAATTTAATTTATCCTTTTTTTTTAACTTTTATTGATAATATTTTTAAAAATATTAATTTTGGGGTCTGGGTTATATTTTGGCCAAAATTAAGTATAATTCCGGCCAAAATTAAGCATAATGCAGGCTAAAACCCAGCTGATTAGTTTCGCAATATTTTATTTTTTAATAATTATTTATATTTAGTTTATTATTTTTATTAATTATTATTTTATCTATAATTTACACATTTTTAATTATAAATTATAAAAATTAATAGTTTAATTTATATTAATTATTTATTTTTTATTGATAATAAAAAAAAAAGATTGTTAATTTCGGTAAATTGACAATTAAATTTACCAATCTACAAATAATTTGAATAAACTGAAATTAAGCAAATTTTTTTTTTTTTTTTTTTCTCACTTTTTCCTTTCAAAATTGGTATATATCCAATTTAAGATTAATTATACTGTTGCTAAATCAATTATAACATTGTTAATAACATTTTTTGTCTTTTTATATGCCCAACTAAACCACCAGTTATTATTAATTAATAAACACATTTGATCTTGAGCTTTTTTTTTCATTCTATAGCATTTTGATAATATGAGATTTTCATTTTTTAAGTTTTCAGGATGTACTGAATCCAATTACAATAATGTATAACCAAAATCTACCATTTGATCTTCCTATGAATTTGTTATATTATTATTCTTTAATTGTTGTTTATTCTGTTTTAATTGCTTGATCTGTTGATGAGGGGATTTAAAATAAAGATCCATATTTTCAGATTCATTTAATTTGTCTTTTTTTCCAATATTTTTAGCCTTTTCCCATGCATTAGTGGCATTACATCTAGGCAACCAAATTAATTCCTTAAAGTGAATGATGAAGGAATCCAAAAGTGAGGCCAAAAATAAAATGTTTTTTGACTCTGAGAATCCAAATATTTGTTTTGATATTTTGGAAAAATTAGTGTTAATCTTAGCTTCCAAGGCCAATGAGCAGAAATCAAGAAATTTGATATCATCATGTTGTGTTCCTAGTATCTGGTTTAATTTCTTATTTATATTCTTAGGTGTATCCTCTGTTGTATTACTCCCTTTTTGAATTATGGAAATCACATCATTTTGCATTCTGCTTTTGATTATAGGCCATAAGTCCTTATTGGCCTCACATTCAATGATTTATTAAGCAAATTTAAACTTATATTATTTAGAATTTTACTATAACTCATATTTTGAGTTTTAGGCAAACATGGCATAGCAGCCTTTATTTTTATTAATTAATTATTGAACTTTACAAATTTACATATAAAAAAAAGAAAATAAAATAAAAACTAACTAAAAATAAAGCTATATAATCTCCTAGAAAGAAATTAAAATTAAAAGAAAATTCAAAAGAAAAATTGCTAATACTAACACTTCCTAGATTTCCTCCTTTGATATATTCCAACCAAAGTAGAAGCAACTATGCTAACAAAATAACAAATGACGCGCCTACTATTAAAATCAACACTCCATCCTGCAAAAGCTGTTATTAAGTAGCACTGTTAGATGACTCATAAAACCTGAAATGTGATTAAACCAAGATAATCCATATTGCATTAAGTTCTTTAACCAATCGATTCTAGAGTCACATGAATCAACATGGGTTGGAGGAGGTAAAGATAAGTAAGGTAAGTACAAAGACTTAGGCAAACCTTTAGGCCTTGAGAAATTTTTAAGTATTGGAGTAATGTTTATCACATGTTCCCATAATCCTTTATCATTATACTTATGTCTGAAATTATTTTAGTATTACGGAAATACATAATTATGTAATTCTGTAATTATTAAGTAATTCATTAGAAAAACTCTGTATTCTGTAATTGATTTCATACTCCGTAATTAATTTCGTATTACGAAAATATTTGGCCAGAATTAGCCTTAATTTTGTCCCATTTATATATAAAAACTTTAACAAATAATAACTCGGCACCCAGTCATCCGTTTTGGATGATCTTACTACCATTTGATTCGTCTTGATAAGACGATTCTAATGGTAGTATGATCTTTTAAATCCAATCACTAGATCGTGATCTGATACCAATAACTTTTAAATATTTATAGCGTAATAGCTCTGCCAATTTCAATGTTAGAAAGATGATCTTACCGCCATTAGAATCGTCTCATCATGACGAATCGAATGGCGGTAAATTCATTCAAATCTAATCACTAGATCGTGCTCTGATACCAAAATTCATTAAATGTTTATAGTAATTTTACTCCATCAATATCGGTGCTATAGAAATGAAACACATATCATTAGATTCGCCTCGATGAGACGAATCGAATGGTAGTAGGATCATCGAAATCTGATCACTAGATCCCGAGATATTCGCAATTTCGCACTATTATGCAAATTTCGGAATTTCGGAATACGTAATTAATTTTGTAACATATAATTAATTATGTAATTATGTAATTAATTACGATTTCGTAATTTTGGATTTCGGATTTGCCAATTAAATTTCGAAAACAACTATATTTATCATAAGAACGTTCCAAATCTGCTTTCAGAATTTGTTGATGAAATTATTGTAAATAGCAGCAATTACATTCATGACGGCAAGGCGAGAAATATCTAAGTTCTCAAATACTTTCAGAAAGGCTGTAGGCAAACAATCACAGACTAAACTATAGGAGGACCAATTGCTAGATGAGAAAGACCAACAGAGTAGAGAAGTGACTTTGTCAAGTTGGGAAGAATAGTTGCAGTTAGCATTATTACCAATTTTAGTAGTAAGAGGTGTAAATATGATTTTAAAAGTTGTTGAAGTTTTAAGCAATGCTTTTTGTACATAAATAAGTGCTTAAAATCTTCAAGTTGATCTTCACAGGAGCGACAGGTGAGAATTTCTATATATAAATCAGGCTGTGTTCGCTTGAGAGATTTAAGAGTAGGTAAGTCTTCCAAGAAGAGTTAAAATTTTATCGTATGATGTTTAGAAATATTTTCTGAAGTATAAGAGCCATCAAATTTAGGTTGGAACATTAAAGTATGCTAAGTAAGAGCCCAATCCACCACATATAGATTAGGATTTATCAAAAGAGAGAGAAAATAGAATCGCGATAGCTCTAATAGGTCTTTCATATAGAGCATTTGATAATAATATTTAAATAAATGCCTTAGATTAGATTCGCAAACTACATCATCGTATTCAAAAATAAAATCATGGGCTGCAGCGAGATCAAGACAAGAAATAAAAACAGCGTCTTCAGAGGCATATGCAGTATTGGCCAAGAAGTTGGCGAAGTCATTTCAATAAAGTTAGAGTAGGCTTTAACTTTGAACGGTAGGACAGAAAGTTTCTTATCAACATCAATCTTTGGATAATAGCCCAAAGTTCAAAATTGGTAGTTTTGTAATATAGGTGGGAGTTCGAGTAGGTGGATGAAGAACAATGTTTAAAACTATCAATAAAGGTTTGCGAGTCAGTATATATATGAATAACAGAGTTTATAGGAAAAGCAGACAGGGCTGCGTAAATAGCAGTAGCTTCCGCGTGAGAGAAAGAAGGCTAATTGCGAATAATACCGTGCTTGTAAGTGGCAATGGAGTTAATTATTAATATTAAGTTCATATATTATATAAACACAATCATTAAAATATATAATGATATTTATTAGTACTAGATAGGTCCTATTATAATAATTTTATTGATTATTAACTTGAATAGAAATACTAAATAAAGTCTTATTTATTTTATTTTACTTTTATTGTTTATTATTATTTTTCATTAATAAAATAGAATTAATAGTTTTAAAAATTATTAATATTTATACAAATTATATAAATGTGCTATTTTTCTACAGTGATTTATTTGATTATTATTATCAATTATATAAATTAAAAATTAAAAATATTATTAAAACAGATTATTATATATATAGTTTTTTATTTTTAAAAGATAATTTTAAAGTACAAAAATCTTAATTATAAAAAGAAATAGAAAAAAAAACATATATATAAAATCTCAAACATTATATTATTTATATATATTAACTTAAAAGTTAAACTTTTTGCAAATTGGCCCAAATTTCAAAAAAATCAGTATTTTGCGATTATTTCAACATTTAGTAAGGATTCCGCTTACTTATAAAATAAGTCACCAGAAATCTAAAGTAAATTTTATAATTGAAAATTTTTGAAAATCTTACTATATATAGATAAATTATACCTAGTTATTATGATTTTTTTTTTTTTTAGATTAATTAACTAATAGGATTGCTGGTAAAATTACTAATAAATTTAAAATTTTTCTTAGAGACTTTTATTAGAAGTAGAGCTCCAAATAGTTCCAGTTTGAACTGGAAACTGATCCGAAACTAACCAAAAATTCAGTTTGGTTCTCAGTTCAGTTTTGGAACTGGAACCATTCAGTTCGATTCAATTCTATTTTATTTTAAGAAAAAATGCGAAAATTAAAATAACTCAGCAACCAGTAATCATATAAAAACAAGCAATAGCTCATTAGAATCGTCTCATCGAGACGCATCAGATGGTAATAAGATCATTTCTCTAGCCTCGATATGTTACGAGATAATCAATACTAAACATTTTTTATGAAATTAGCAATAGAATTGTATCTATTGATTTTAAAGAAATGATCTTGGCATCATTCGATAGGTCTTAATGAGACAAATCTAATGAGCCTTTTTTCATTTTTTTATGATCACTGCATAACGAGTTAACTTAATTTTTGCATTTTTTTAAATTTTTAAACATCAAAAAATAAAAATTCTGATTTAAGATATAACCCATCTTCTACTAATTGTATTGGAATGATCTTTAGCTCATTATTAGAACTGTCTCAATAAGATAAGTTGAATAATGGTAAGCTCATGTCTTTAGCATTGATAGATAACTTTTTAATGCTGATTTTCTAAAATTGTTTAGCATGATTTATCTCATGATATACCAATGCTAGAGACATGATCTTACTGTCATTCAACCCATCTCATTGAAACGGTTCTAATGAGCTAAAGATCGTTCTAATACAATCAGTAGAAGATGGGTTATATCTTAGATCAGAATTTTTATTTTTTGATGTTTGAAAATTTAAAAAAATATGAAAATTAAGATAACTCGTTATGTAATGATCATTAAAAAATGAAAAAGGCTCATTATATTCTTCTCATTAAGACCTATCAAATGATGCCAAGATCATTTCTCTAGGATCAATAAATACGATTCTATCGCTAGTTTCATAAAAATGTTTAGCATTGATTATTTTGTAATATATCGAGGCTAAAGAGATGATCTTGCTACCATTCGACGCATCTCGATGAGACAATTCTAATGAGCTATTGCTCGTCTTTATACGATTATTGGTTATTGAATTATTTCGATTTTTGCATTTTTTCTTAAAATTGAATAGAACTAAACCAAACTGGACGGTTCCAGTTTAGTTTTCATTCAGTTTAGTTCTTACCTAAACCAGAAAAAAACCACATCAAACTGACCCATTTGGAGTTTTAATTAGAAGTAAGTAGGATTCTATTCAGTAATCTAATTTATGTGAACTTTTTTTTTATTTTATAGCTCTCAGTTATTGAGTTATACAAAATAAAAAATTTCACATGAATCAGATTACTAGATGCTATGGTGCGGCGCATCTATACTCATCAACAGTCCAAAAATTTATTTTAGGCCGATCTTTACCAAATTAAGTAATAGTTTAGCCTTATTTGGTAACATCCCCATTGATCATTGCGTGATTTATTAAATTAGATTTACCTGATTGGCTCAAATCGTAATCACGTGGAAAATTGATTCCGAAATTTCACTATTTTACATAGACTTATATAAAAAATACTCCAACTTAAAAGCTAATAACTTTTAATCNTTAAAAAGCTAATAACTTTTAATCTATAAAAGTTAGAGGAAATTAAATCCGATAGAATGAAAGAGAATCCTTTAATCTATAATTGTATCAGTTTACTTTTTCAGTTTAACATAAAATTTTAATGAGTTATTGAAGTTTAAAAATACCCAATTTTCATTTGATGAGTATAGATGCGCCGCACCATAAGATATATAATTGTAAAATACTGAAATAAAAAAAAAAGTGAATTAGATTTTTTAGGACCTAAAAATATATATATAGAAGTCAGGTGGTGAAAAATTTTTTTACTATGAACTGTACGCAGAGACTTTTTATATGAGTAGTACGCATAATTGATACCTGATATTAAAAATCCTGCAAAAATACGCAAATAAAATTTCAGACATTAAGTTATTAATTATTTTATCATGGCTTCTATATATATTATTTATAAAACTAAGTACTAATGTGAAAAAATAGAATTTACCATTTTTTTAATAATATTTTTTTAAAATTTCACTTTTTAACCCTTAGAAATTTCTTTCAATTAATACTAAATATTACAATGCAGTTAATTAAATAAGTACATACAGTAAATATATTATATTGAAAATTATAAAACGCACCAGTGGTGTGTCGAACACCACATCACGTGATTTTAATTCATAGTATTATGTAATCATTTATTTTATACCAATGCCGGTAACGCATTCCTTTGTTTTTCTGGTTTGGAAACGTTACTACCGTTCTCTCTCTTTCTTTTTATTAGAAACGGCCTTGGGCCTGGACTTTGACATTGCAAGGGGAGTTTTTTTTATGGGGTTTTGTTTCTTTTTTTGTTTGGGAACGTTACTAACGTTCTCTCTTTCTTTTTTTTAGGAACGGTCTTGGACTTCGACCTGGATTTCGACATTGCAAGGTGAGTGGGTGGGTTGATTTTTTTATGAGTTTCCTTTCTTTTTCTTTGTTTGAGAATGTTACTAACGTCCCCTCTCTTTCTTTTTTTTAGTAACGGCCTTGGACCTGGATTTTGACATTGCAAGGAGAGTTTTTTTTGTGATTTTTCATTTCTTTTTCTGGTTTAGGAACGTTACTAACGTTCTCTCTTTCTTTTTTTAGGAATGGCCTTGGACTTTAACCTGGATTTTGACATTGCAAGGTGAGTGGTGGGTTGATTTTTTTTGTGGGGTTTCCTTTCTTTTTTTTGGTTGGGAACGTTACTAACGTCCCTCTTTTTCTTTTTTTTTTATGAATGGACTTGAACTTCGAACTGGACTTTGACATTGCAATGTGAGTGGGTGGGTTGATTTTTTTTTGTGGATTTCCTTTCTTCTTTTTGGTTGGGAACGTTACTAAAGTCCTCTCTCTTTCTTTTTTTTTTAGGAACGGCCTTGAACTTCAACCTGGACTTTGACATAAGTGAGTGGGTGGTTTGATCTTTTTCATGGAGTTTTATTTCTTTTTTTGGTTTGGGAATGTTATTAACATTCCCTTTCTTTTTTTTTTAGAAACGGCTTGGACTTTAGCCTGGAGGACTTTGAATTGTAAAACTGGTGGGTGTTTTATTTTATTGTTCGTCTTTTTTTAATTTGGGAATGTCTCTGACATTCTCTCTTTTTTTTTTTAGGAATGACTTTAAACTGGACTTTAAAATTGTCTTTTTTATTTTGTTAATCTTAGTGTGGTAGTTTCATTTGGTTCTCCTTTTTTTTCTTAACTCTTGGTAAGATGGCTTCGTTTGGGATGTAATTGCCCTTGATCTTCTATCTTTTCATTAATTATTCTTGATGGCTTTGTTATGGATATAATTACTCATGGTTCTTCTAACTTTTTATATAACAGCTTCATTTAGAACTTTTTATCTTTGATTTTGCCTTTCATCTTTGATTCTTTTATTTGCATTTTGTTATTACTTCATTTTATACCTCGTGAAGCAAATTAAAAAAAAAGTTCGTAGCAACCATAAATCAAATATATTATTACAGAATGTGACTAAATAACTAAATATTACATAAATCAATTTTGAGTATTTTTATTTAGTTAAATTAGAAAAGGGAACTATTATAAATTCAAAGTGAAAGATTTTGATTTTTCGCATCACCGTTTAACAAAAATGTTAGCCAATAAAAAGTTTTTTGGGAATCACGTGATGTGGTGTTGAGCACCACTAGTGTGATTTAGTAGAGTCGTATTATATATATAAGATTAGCCAAATTTAGGCCAAAAATATGCAAACTAATTTTTTTATATATAAAAATTTTGATAAAAAATACGCAATCTTGATGACCTAACTATAGATGAAAAATTCTAAAATTGTATGCAAATCAAAACTTTACTCCATCTAATTCCACTATAATGGTAACACATCTGTGTACCCTACCCTATATATATATTTCTGGGTCCTGATTTTTTTAGCAAAAAAGCAGTTATGAGTTTTATAAAAGGTATCTGAAGTTCTATATGTATATTTTTATTTAAAATATTATTGTAAATTAAATTTTATTAAAATATATTAAGAAACAGTAAAAAAAAATATATATAAGATAATTTTTTTTTTTTTTTGCAGCACATTTGCAACTTTATTAAAGTAAAAAAATAAATTAGAAGAAACTATATATAAAATAAAGTTCTAATAATATCTACTCTAATATAATTAAACTACAAACCACTCGTCATATATATAGTACTTTACGTAAGTGATTATTTGATTATATAAAAAATAATTGTAATTATATATAAAGAAATTCAATATAATGAAATCCTAATAAACTGGAATTGATCTTATATCAGAACTTTTTTTGAACTAAATTATATATATTAAAATAAATTTGATATAATGGAATTTGTTAGTAAAATCTTAATAATAACTATAATAGAATAAATAATAAATCAGTTATACTTCAGTTATATTAAAAATAATTTGATTTATCAAAACATGTAATAATTTACAGTTTTAAACTAATAAATTAGTAGCAAGTGTAATAACTTTTTAGAAATTTTAGTGAAAAAATATTGAAAAATTTTTATCACTTTATAAGAATGTAATATAAATAAAATTTCCTAAATAAGATTGTTTATTTGAAAATATTAATATATGTAATACCTTTAAAAATAAATTAAATCATACATAAAATCTTTTTTTTACACTTTAATCATAAACTTTTTTATTGAAAATATGTCTAATAATAAAATAAAAAAGCAAAAATAAAGTAGAATATACATGGCCTGATAATTCCCTATTTTCATATAAATACGTAATTCGTAATCCTGGTAATTAATTACCAGATTTTTTGAAAAATATGTAAATATGTAATTATTTATGTCATACGTAATTAATGTAAATATTATTGGCTGATCATAGGTCATGTGTTTTTTTTATACAAAGTCATATCAGCATTTTATTGTTTTTGCATTTTTATATATATAAATGCCAGAACCATCAGTTTCAGCATTTTTTTGCATTATACAAGTCAAAACGCCAGAACTATCAGTTTCAGCATTTTTTTTGCATCTTTACAAGTAAAAATGCTGAAACTATCAGTTTTGGCATCTTTTTTTGCATTTTACAAGTAAAAATGCTAGAACCATCAGTTTCAGCATTTTTTTGCATTTTACAAGTAAAAACACCAGAACCATCAGTTTCAGCGTTTTTTTTTCATTTTTACTAGTAAAAATGCCAGAACTATTAGTTTCAG